GCGTAAACATAAAACCATGTCTGCATTTGTGATCGGAGAAATGACAAACAACAAGCGCTACTCTACACTGCTCAAAACTCGCGTTTGAATCATCAGTGGCAAATTCTTTAAATATGAAAACGTACTTACAGACTGTGAGTCAGAATAGCCGGCATTGTAGTCTACTCTCCCAGGATCAGGAAACAGTCCTCCATAAAATGCGCTGCACACATCTGAATATTTGGGTTGAACTGTTCTGGAACAGTGTTGTAAATACAGCTTAACCACCGATTTCTAGTCGTGTCCTTCGCTTTCGCAAGGAAACACACAGCATCTTCACAACATGGCGGCGGTGGCAGCAACAATAAAGTTATGCCTTCTTTCTTTGCGTGAACATTTGGGCGCACATTTACATGTTATGAAAATCTTCCCACATCGTGACATAGACATGTGGGGGCGTGTTTAAACGAGGCGTTTTAGGAGGGCATGGACGAGTCTTAACGTTTATAAAGAATACCTCTTTGGGTTTGAGACTTTAGTCTTTGCAACTTTAGGGATCTTATCTATTCACAAACAGCTTGTAACACTCCAAAGAGAAATGAAAACTTGAAATCGCATCATATGACCCCTTTAACATTATATAATTTGGTAGACTACTAGCTGTTCATATTTCATAGGGACTTTAATGTGATGAACTACGACTAAGTTTATGCTGCTAGGACACCAGGGTAACTGACTTTATTCATGGATTAAAACCACCTTGACACCAGCAAAAGTTCTTGCAACATTTGCTTTTCGACTGGTGACTGAAATAGTGCATGTTTGTTTTTTTCCCCCATTTGTACTGGGCAGACCTGATTGATGTGAGGTCTTGTAGAGCCAGCCGTATGAGACGAGCCATGGGTGTGAAGCCTGTGCCGGCTGCTAACATGTAGAGATGAGTGACATCATGCAGGATTTGCATACTGAAGGACCCCTCAGGACCACCTACTGACAGAGAGGATCCTGGAGCAGGCCAGAAAGATGACAGGAGTTAGTAAGGTTAGATTGTGATTCAATGCAATTACAGTTTTCATGTTTATTTTCAAACTGAAACTTATTATTTGTTTTATTTGTGCTTTTTTGTTCATTCTGTATGTGCAAAACAGGGTTGTGAGCCATGAAATGAGAAAGTTATTTAGTTATCATTCAATCCAAATTTGAACTGAGATACTAAATAAGGCCTACCATTAACATTTTTGAAAAAAAAAAAAAAGTTAAGAATTAAAGTGAACTAAAATTCAAAGAAATCCACTTGGTTTAACAGATCTTACAAACAGGTTTATTGACAAGGGAGGGGTTCAAATTCCAGCTCATGAATTGCCCAACTATGGTGTAAAATCATGTAATGCTGTTTCTTTCTTTAAAAAAAAAAAAAAAAAAAGATATGAGAAGTTACTAACCAATAGGAAGGCTGGCGAGATGTGAGGTCAACAATCCATCAGAATAGATCTTTATCATAAGATTTAAGTCTGAGCCCATTTCAGCACTGGATTGTGAGGGAGGTATTAGCGACTGATCCACTGGTGTGTAGGGTTTCACAACATCTGTACCTGTGCACCAAACACACAAAACCAGCCTGCTGAACACTCCATAAAACTATCACCTTCCATCAGGTTCTCTTTAGATCAGCAGAGCATGAGCTGTGTGTCAAAGTGTCGTATTACCCTGGAGAGATGTTTTGAGGTAGACGTGTCTTCCCACAGGAACTTGCATATTTGACCCTGGAGGAAGTTGTAAACACAAGACCTGCGTGTCGTGTGTGACGTCTGATTTCGAAACCAACATGCATTCCCTGTAGGAGAGCTCTGTGATCAAACAAACGTTATTAAACCTTACTATTATTATTCGTTTATGTTTTACCAAGTAATTTCTTAAATGAATGAATGAGGAAGTGAGGAGGGAGTTAGGTAACTGAACAAATTTACTAACTAGTTATATATTAAAATATTTGTATAAGCCAAAATATGTGTTTAAAAATGTACTTCGACCTAGAACTGTACAAGGGTACTAAGATTTGTAATTTTAGAGTTTAAATGTGTTCTAAGAAGAGGAAGTAGATACGAAGACCTTTCCAAACTCACTCGTTTTAGCCACTGACGCATATTTGATTGAATATGAATGCCTTTAATAGTAAAAATCTTTTTTTCCTCTGTATTTAGAACCAAATCTGAAGTTTAGAAATTTTCCAAAAACAACAATAAAAAAAGAAAAAATGTTAACGTATAAGCACAGTAGTAAAAACATCAACATAAAATTTAGAATTTGCTTTAGGAACACAGTAAATAATTGAACACTAAAATAATTACATACAGAACAAATAATAAAGGGTGCAACACCGAGCCTTGTGGTACCCCTTTATTTCATGTTGTTACAAAACAAAGTAGTATCTCAAATGTGTTCCTCTATGCCTCTATCTTTACAAAATTAAACAGCAAATTCTCTTAAATTTAGATACTTTTCTGACAATTAAGATCATAGGTTGGTTACTCACCACGATCTTTACACTGAATAAATGTGTCATGGTGTTCTAGTGGTTGCCCCACTTTCGTCCACTTGTCTTTGACAGATTTGTGTAGACACACCTGAACTTTTCCTACAGAGTGGGCTGTCTGGACTATAAGCACAGGACAACAGGGAAACACTTCTTTAGAATGAGAAAAATAAATGATTGATTATTTATAATACGCATAATGTTTAAATAGTAAGACCATGTAAATGCTGTAGTAAATTAAAATAGTAATGATTCAGTAGCAAGGTACTGTACTCTTCAATGGATCACAGTAATATTAGCTTACACCATCACTCCACCATGGTACGGCCACAGTACTTTTTGTACAGATACTTTCAATATAATTCTAGATTCAACACAAACAAGCATGTCTAATTTAACATACAACTCACCATCAACACGTCCTTGAACTTCACTAGACAGGCCTGAAAAGAAACAGTTATCAACTTGATATAGAACAATACACAATGTTCATCTCTAAGTGGCTGAAGAAATGCAAAAAGACCCACGCCAGTAGAGAAGGTACGACATCCTCCCCAAAAGCATCTCCACCCGAAGAGTATCACCCTGTAGATCCACCACTGCACAGCCAGCACTGGGAATCTGGTGAGGGGAAAATAACAGAGAATTTGACTTTTTTTTTATGTTTGAAAAGACAACCAGATAACCACTGCATTTAAGGAAAAGGAGTTGACACCGACCTTTCGTTTGGTGTAAACAATGATATTGACAGTGCCATCTGTCTGGAACCAATCATATCTAAAAATGAAGAATAAATATACAGAGAATCAGCCAGTGTGACTTCAGTTAGGTGAGGCTGACAAGTTTATTTGTCTAAATTTTGCCTAGCATTCATTTATTTTAATATTATGTAATTATTTTGTAATGTAAAATACAATTTTAATATAATGTATTTTTTTATTAAATACTAATATTTTTAGAGCGCTGTTAGTAAACTTTCTCTGAGTAGTTAGAAAAAGAAAAAAAAACTCTGGTTCACAGGCTGAATCTACCTGGGATCAAACATGTAAACTCAATATTACTAGCCAAGACCATTATTCAATTGACCACAACGAGCCCTAAATGCTGCATAAAATGCAGACCAGATGATACTGTACCAAGGAATGAGTCACTCAGTATACTTTTTATTATAATCATGACATAAGGAAAAAACATACCGAGGGCGATGATCTTTAGCAGGGAGAGGAGAAGACAAGGGCTCCTGTCTTGAAGGTGGAGGAACAGACAAACCTGGTATGAAGAGTACAAAACACATAATTACTCCTCATGAGTCCAATAAGTAATTAAGTAATAGCATACTCAGCATTTATAACTAGAAATCTGCATAGTTGAACTACGGCTTTGATGTCATACCGTTCATGTGAGCGCTCTCCGTCTTCTCTGTCTGAGCTGCAGGAACCAAAGAAACATGTCATGAGGCATTAGAACAAAAACTAAAAAAACAACATCAGAAATCTTATTTCGGCTTTGGTTCTGAAAGTAAAGGAATATTCCATTCCATTAACAGCATGTTAATTAGTACAAAAAAAGGTTACACTTTACTTGAAGGGGTGTGCATAAGACTGACATGACACCTTCATAATCATGACATGACACCTACATAATCATGACATGACATGAATATGAAGGTTTTTTTATGCATGTTTATGACAACTGTCATTAAGTGTCATTC